AGTATTCTGTAGATAATTTTTAGTTGTCATCTGAGAAAATGACAAAAAGAATTCAAAACAAATTTTTCGTAAATGATACTACATTGATATACATAGAGAAAATTTTCTAAATCAGTTAGATTAAAAGTCAGTACCTGAAGAGTTTCAACCGTGGGTTTTAATAGTCGAATATGGATTTCAACATTTAAACTAACTAGTTTTGAAAATTTTCTCTATGTACATCAATGTAGTATCATTTACGGAAAATTTGTTTTGAGTTCTTTTTGTCATTTTCTCAGATGATAACTAAAAATTATCTACAGAATACTTCACATGTATTTTTCTTACTTGACAACAGTTACAATTTCTTTCGTGAGGTCAACCATTATACTTAATAGTAGCACTTCGTCAGCACATAATCCTCCTTTCAGTAGAGAAAATAAAAGCAATCATTTCTTGAATCTCTGTGTACTTCGCTGAATATATACTACTTCGAGGAATTCTGCAAATGTCGATAAAATAAATGTGTGAATATCATTTTCAATCAAAGAATCTTATCAAATATCTTTCATATTATTGGAAGTTATATTAAAATATATGTTATATTTTATATATGGCAGGAAAGGAAATCGTCGTTTGAATGATATAAACTAATTTTAAATACAAATAAACATTTTCATTAAATATATTGAGAACAGCTTATATGTTTCTGTCTATCTTATTTTGTTTTTATACGCAAAATTTCTCCGCCTCCTAACAAAATTTTTGTTGTATCTTTTAGTATCTTTTACCAAATATTTGACTTTTCAAAATCATTGTGACATAAATTTTCTAAACAACCTACACATTTATATGGAACTTTTTTTTCACCCCATACAACACAATCAGTCTTACCCGTGGCTGTCATGTGTTGAAAATTTTAATGACGACAATATATATATACGCAGAAGAACATAAAGAAATATGGAGAGAAAAAGAAAGTGGCAATGTCTTATCGGAGTGTGCCAACATATTTCGACAAAATGAGTCAATGTCAATAAGCATCGGTATGAAGTGAAAGAATGAAACAAATTTATCTTACAACAAGGACGGAGGATATTAAGAAACGAAATCGACTCCCTGCAAAAACCTAATTTTTGTTCATTAAATAACCAACCCAGGCAGTCAAAATCAATAAAAAAACGTGTTCTAAATCGTAAAAAGGCCAAATTTTACCATTTGGAAATCGTTTAACAATTTAAACGTGGTTTTACATGTTCGAGTTTTGAATTAAGCTATCTATTTAAAGAAAACGCGACAATTCTATATCTTAAGACTCCTTGACAGATCTTCATGACGATTTCTTAACTGTTTCAATTTTATTTCTATCTTGTATTGTTGTCATATACGTTAAAATTTATTATCTATTAATCTATTTCAAACTATATTATGAAATTTTTTTTGTAATTCATTTAATTTTTCGAATTCGAATTATGAAAAAACTTTTATCATATAGTTCGAAATAGATTAATAGGTAATAAAGTTTAACTTATATGACAACAATACAAGAGGGCTGCGCAAGTACGAGTACAACTTGTACCACGCGGTTCACAGCTGACTATGTACTACCTTGTACCATCTTGTATCGAGTTCATGTATCGATATAATAACATATATACCCTGGGAAAACCTAGAATTCTAGAATTTATGTACCACCTTGTATCACCACGTACCACTTTGTATCGGGGTGGGTGTGGGTGCGGGTATGATGAGAAGAAACCCACACCCACACCCACCGTAACTGTTCAGTTTGTTTTGCCAAGATATGATTACATATTTGATCTAACAAGAAACAATAATAGACGA